TCCTACTTTTACTATAAATAAATATGATTGAAAAGATATTTTGACAATATGTACAACAACGATACATTTTTTTTGTCATCTTAGAAATCATTTTTGTCTGTGTCGCACATTTATTGGCTATAATATTAAATTTTTTGGATCGACATTTTTAATCTGTGGTGCAACTTTAGAGATAAAATAATCAGTGCGAGTTAAAAAAATAGTATTATTATTTTTACTGTATCTAAAGTTATAGCCCTAACTGTGTCAAAAAGTATAAAAGTCAACGGCGTTATTTCGAAGTTGAGTTATGATGACTGCATTCACAACAACACAAGTAATTGAAGGGTACTAAATTTCAATATGATCGAGTACTATTTGAAAGACTAAAAGTGCGATTTCCCCAACATACTACTAGATCAAAGTAAAAGGTTCAAAGTATTAAAATGAAAACTAGTCATTGTGCTCATAAAAAAAATGTCTAAAAACAAAATAATAATAATAATAATAATAATTCATAATTGGTACGGAGTATTTGGTACACACATTAATTTTTAAAAACCCTCTTTCTCATTTCTCAACAGCATATTAATAAACAAATTCTAATTAACTCCCTCTGGGAGCTAGCTCTCCTTACAAAGCGCTCTCTGCCTAGAATTAGGATTTAGATTTTCCGCAAGCCTCGGGTGGCTGATGCGATGGTAGTTTGATCGTGTCAATTCAACACAAATGGCTGCAGCTCAAGGTTTTAGAGTGGTGTCCCGTCCTTCGATCATCATGGAGAATATGGTTCATCAATACAAATGGCTAGGTATTGGTGGAGAGGAAAATGACTTTAAAGATCTAATGACTTCAATATGGCGTTCGGGGTAGAGGAGTCTTGATCACGGAAATAAAAAATAAGAGCGGTGAAGGGCTAAGCAAGGGAGAAGAAAGATCGGCGGTTCATTCGCCTCCCTCTTGAACCGCCGCCTTGTAGCGATCGTGGTTTGAAGGTTTGGAAGATGATATTTCAAGAAAACTGATAGGAAAGGTTTGGAATATTTATCCACTATTTTATATTTTGTGATCTTATTTTCGCGCTATGGTTGTTTACGTTGCTCTGTTTTTTGTTGATGTCTTTTGTTTTAAGTCTACAATAATGATTGACAATTCTGCTAGATATTATTTCCTCTGTCCCATTGGACTTTGCCAACTTTCTCTTTTGGCTGTCCCAAAAACTTTGTGGTCCTGCCCATTTTTCTCTCTTTTACACAAACTTCAACCACTATTTTTATTATTCTTATTTCTCAACTAATTCAAAAAGTGCAAAGTTCATTGGGACGGAGGTAGCATGTCGCTAGAAGAATCTATATCACCAGTGATTGTTATGACACACCTGTTTTGTGATTAGCGATTTGTATTGTTCTTTTAGGGGTAGTCGTTTTTAAGTCTAACTGTATGATTGATAGTGCTAGTTGGTTACGAATAGTTGTTAATCTTGTTATCAGTGTTGGTCTCTTTGAGTTTTGTTATAACGATCCGAATCCTAATTATATTAATATAAGCGGTTTTTCCTTTTAAAAAAATTAATGAACATATTCTTTTAATAAACATAAACAAAATTATATTAAAAGCTTTGTAAATGACTAACAACCTCTATTGTGGATGAAAATAGAGATTTGTCGAATCGGTTTAACAACATTTCTATTTTTTCGGCGATTTGCAAATTGTGTCGCTAATAACCTTGCTTAAAGCGATCCTTTCTCTATTTTTCTATTTGCTTAACCTTGCGGATTTTCAATCACGTGGCCAAAAAGTCAGAATCAACAACAAAGTGGTATGTTGTACTCACTATAGAAGAAATATCAGTGTTAAAGCGATGTTAATCATGTCCGTTTATGAATTTTGTAATGCTTAAATCATCATTGACAATAGAAAGTGTAAATGTAATGAAAGTTGTGTGCATGTCGTGCTATGTATTGTGTAGTTGTTGTAAAGTTGTCTGTAATATTTATATTCTATGTGTAATACGTGTATTAATGTCACTGATTTGAGAGAGTTATTGTCAATTAATATTGTAATACTTAAATTAGGGCAAAAGTTGCCAATGTTAATGTTGCCAAAGTATGAATAATAATATATTCTATGAGTATGGGTGAATTATGAAAATATGGCAAATATTATGCGTACAAGGTGTGTCATGACAGAGTCAATGTGTTGAAGAAGAAGAATTGTGTCAAAGTACTTGTAGTATGGAAAAAATTGACAAATGTTAGGTGTACAAAGTGTGTCATTACAAACTCAATGACTTGTGTTGAACACCTGAGGCGTAATTAGTCATTATCACCCAAAAAGTTGCCAATGTTAATATTGCCAAAGTATGAATAATAATATATTCTATGAGTATGGGTGAATTATGAAAATATGGCAAATATTATGCGTACAAGGTGTGTCATGACAGAGTCAATGTGTTGAAGAAGAAGAATTGTGTCAAAGTACCTGTAGTATGGAAAAAATTGACAAATGTTAGGTGTACAAAGTGTGTCATTACAGACTCAATGACTTGAAGAACAAGAAGTTTGTCAAATTAACTGTACTATGGAAAAAATTGACAATTATTATGGTTGAAAGATGTGTCATCACAAAGTCAGTGACTTGAAGAAGAATTATTGTGTCAAACTACCTGTAGTTTGAAATCATTGCCAAATATACAATTGAAAGATGTGTCATGACAGAGTCAATGTGTTGAATAAGAAGTATTATGGCAAACTAAATGTAATGTGGCAAAAACTGGCAAATGTTAGAGTTGTAAGATGTGTCACGACAGAATGAATGAGTTGAAGAAGAAGAATTGCGTCAAACTGCCTGTTTTCTGGAAAAAAAGTGCCAAAAATAACTGTTATAAAATGTTTACTGAAAAATAACTGTCATCTCTCTCGCCAAACAAGGCAACTCTGTTCACTTCATTTCTTTTTGGACTTCTAATCATTGTTAGACAAGTAATCAGAAACTTATTTCTACCTTCTTCTTTCAGTGGCACTTTGAATTGCATGAATTATTTAAGTTTCATACATGAATTATATGGAAATATCACAGAAATTGCTAAAGTATACTATAAATGGACTTCATTTAGAAAATTTATTTTTATTTACTGCTGTAATGATGTGTATTTTTTTTCATTTAACAGAACAGAACTAAAATGGACATCTTTACTGGATTTGCTATTGAAAAATCCACAAGTGTTGAAGGGAAAAAAATCCATACATACTATATGATGACAATAAATGGACGAAGAATCCCAATTGCCAATGTCATCTGCAACAATGAAGAACAAAAATGCTCAACAGGAAGAGGGTGACAGCTATTTGTCAGGGCAACAGGATTCAATAGCTACATCCCAATGCAATTCAATGACACAAAACATTTGGAGCAGACTTTGAATACCTTCCTGAACTCATTGAGAACAAATAGTACAAGTAAGTGATGAAGTAATGAATTTATTGTTTTTAACGTGTGTAAATTATACTGTTTGTAATGTTTGGAAATGCCATAGGGTGTCCGAGCTCTTTAACTGTACACTCTCCTGATGTCCACCAGTTTACTGTCAATTGGTTCATCTTGCAAATAAGTGATGTTGATTCAGCAGTAAGTATTCAATATGTAACATGTATTAAAAGTTTTACCTTGTTTAAACCGTCAATATGTGAAAAAATTTAGGGTTGCCAAAGCAGTACTGTGTTAGCCAAAGTGATATTAGGCAAAAACTGACAAATTTTAATGTTGTAAGTGTTCTTATTTTGTATTCTACATGTGCAATTGTATTTCAGATAATACCTAACTGCATGCATCATCGCCACCTGTTTGAGCACATTGAACACTGTGCTATTCTTGTACATGGCGGTGGGGAGTGGCTGGTTAACGTAGACAGATTTTGCTTCACAAAAGGCTTTGATGAGTTCCTCATTGACAATAATGTTCTATTGGGCCAACATATCTTATTTCGCCATATTGGGAACAACACATTCCAACTTTTGTTTACGGAAATGATGGTTTCTCAATCAAATGCAACGATTCACCCATTGTTGACGAAGTTGACATCACAGCATTTATAGGTAAATGAAATTAACTTATTGATTCAATTTTTACTTTTACTTTTAAATTTGATCTTGCAATCTGGCAGTTTAATGTTTTATTTATACTTAATGAGACTATTATATTATAAATGTGTGCATTTTTTTAAAACATATTTCGCAGATCATTTTTCAGTCTTAGTGAAATCAACAATTCCAGACATGCCCTATGAGAAGTTGTTTAACCCAATCTCTTATTTATATGTAACCTTCAAAACAACAAAGGTGACCACATCAATTACTTATTTTGTACATATTACAGAGCAATAATTAGGCAAATCTTCACATTATGATACTTTGCTTATGCATCTTTGCTCCATAGGAAAGTTGTGAAAATTACCTGAGGTCATACGTGGACCTAAGGAAAAGGGTGCAGATCTGTTATGGGGAAAAAGACAACGTGTTCCATGAAGATTGCTCTTCCATGATCGAAGATATCCAGCAGTTCTTTGACATACCAAAGCGTTCAACAATGATGTTCTTCAAACACGGTCGCGCTCGCTTCTTGCTGCTGCGTATTGATCGATGCAATGTAGAAAAGCCAGTAGCCAGTGCCACTTCTCACGAGATAAAGAGTGCTGTTTGTGGAAAACTCCTTGGAAATTATTAGAAATAAGAATGTGTATTTGACATTATTTGTTATGTTTGTGTCCAATTAAAACTATGCGAATTGGTTTTTGGTTTAGTTGCTTTTCTCCTAGTTGAACTGATTCTATGTACTCATGTTAAACTATGCAAATGTTTACTCATTATTTAATTGCAATTCTTATTGTGGTGTCCATATTGATTTAAATTCATATTCAACAATGGAATTTGTGTATAATTCATTACAAATGTTTCTGGTAACATACGAATTCCAAAACACAATGCAAAATTGAATGCTATTTATACTTCTACATTATTATTGTGCTCTATTACAAAACAAAAAAAGCAGTAGAAACATTGTTTGTCACTAAACAAGTATGACTGATAAAACTGTATATGAAGAGTTAAGCAAATACTGGAAGTAAAAAACAGAAACACATATAATCACTGCATAGAAATAGGGATAGGATTGCGACATGATTTTTTATTATGCCCAAGAATATGGCAGCGAGAGCACTTTTATCGTTTAGATCCAGATCCACGAAACTCCCCAACAGAAGGAATTCTGGTCTTCTTAGGACGTCCAACAGGTCTTTTGAGACAACTTGGTGGCTTGCAAATCTGATCACAACATGTTGAGGAACCAACCATGATTGTGGATCAACAATGGGATGTACAACAACACTCCAAGTCGAAAGCCATGAATCACGTGAATAGAATGGTGAGATGAAGTCATAGCAAGATAAACGGGGGCGCACACGAATAGCAACAACTGCATGAGCACACACAAATTGTTCCAATTGAAAAATGCCACAGGTACAAGTCTTGTGGTTGAGGTTAACAACAAAAGATCTACAATAGCGATCCACAACTTCAAACTCGAAATATAAAGTTGATTTCACCTGATAGAAAACATATAAAAAATACAGTTATGAAATAATGAATGTAAGAAAACAAAAGCCAAGAGTCATATTCATAAAATGAAAGATGGCAATAAAATGATACATTCGGAAATATAACAACACTTATGGCAATAAGTTACAACTTCTATTAATGAAACAGGAAAAAAACTGAAACCTGCATGCGTGTGGATTCAGCTTGCACATCAACTAAATGGTTCTCGCATTTGGGGGACAAGAAAGTGGATGTTTTAAGGTCTTCCTCACTTCTTTCCGTGAACCACTGTTGCATTCTTTCACGCAAGAAATCAACCAATTTACAAACTGAATACTCTCTAGCACAAACATTTACTTTGTTTAACGATTCTGCACAATTTGATGTCATGATGCCATATCTGCGTGGACCAGCAACACACTTAGCCCATCTATGGTTACCAACTTTACTTAACCAAGGTCAGATTCTAGCATCTTCTGTGTCCAACATTGAAAAATATTCCTCAAGTTCTTGCATAGTGTTTGCTGAATAAGCAGCTTTAAACTTCCATCCAAGACCATTGGCACCACCTCTTAATTTTGAAATTAAATTACGCCTCAGGTGTTCAACACAAAACCCGTGAAGAGCATGGGGGAAGACTTCAGCAGCAGCAGAGATTAAGCCTTTGTGGCGATCAGACACTATATACATATCACTTCGCATAGAGATTGAATCACTCAACCTGCTTAGAAACCATAGCCAAGATGCTTTGGTTTCAGAATCACAGATTGCAAATGCCAAGGAAACGATGTGGTTGTTGGCATCTTGAGCACAAGCCGTAAGCAAAGTGCCTTTGTAATATGCCTTCATGAACGAGCCATCTAAGATAAGTACAGGTCTACAAAACTCCCATGTTTCACGCCAAGGTTTTAGTGAAAAGAAAAAAATACTGAAATGCACCATCAGCAGCAGTTACAAGTTTTATGGTAGAATCTGGATTTGCTTCTTCAAGTACATACGCCATTGAAGGTAGCTTCTGGTATGACTCTGCATCAGATCCGAACTGCCTTTCCTTTGCACGTTTCTGTGCTTCCCAAGCTTTCTTGTACGACATAGAAATCCCATATTCCAAATTCATATCATGCCTTATTTGTTTTGGCGTATAAGGTTTAACAGAAGCATCCAAAAATTTGTGTGCCACAAGATTAGCAATAACATTAAATGTTGCCTGTCTACTATTAAATTGCCTATAGTCAACAGAGCAAGTGTGTACGGCATCAAACCTGTAACAATAACAATAGATGAATTTTCATAAATGCAATCGAAGACAAAGAACAAAATGTTATCACATAATACAAAAAAAAAAAACGAGAAAAACAAAAACAATATTAGATATGAGTTAGCATGACAACATACCTTCTAATCTCAAACAGTTGTACACCATCTAATCTGACTGCACGAACTGCCCACTCACACGACGGATCCAAACAAATAATGTGTAATATTTTCTTCCTTGATGTCAGAGTCTGAATTGGAAACTGTTGGTGATGGCATACAACTTTAAATGATGAAGTAAGTCAGCCTTAATAGCATTAATCATAACACATGTTGGATGATAATGACTAATTACGTCAACAAGGTGGTTCACAGACGCAGGTTGTAAGGATAATGATTTGGAACCAACACCAGAAAAATTAGGCAAAATAGTTGAGGATGAAATGTTGCTTTCTGAGGAAGAAGAAAACTCATCTTCTTCATCAATGGAAGCCAAACTGCTATGCAACCCATTCCCTTAATTACTACAATCAGAGTCACTCACATGCAAAGACAATGAAGATGTAGTAGAACCATGTGCAAGTGAGTTATGAAGTGGTACAAAATCATGAAGCACATGTGGAGTTTCAGACTTAAACTCCACACATAGTGGTAACTTTGCAACATCCGACTGCAAACACTTCATATAAAGATAGAATTTCAAAGTTTCATCATCAACAATAAAAACAGGAGGGGGGCAACCATCAACCATATACGAAATCCTGAATGAATGATTTGGTTTGTACTGATTTAAGATTCCACGCAGCATATCAAGCAAACTCGTGTACGAAGAATGAAGTCAGACATCCATGTACCGTCCAACTTAAGCATAACAAGCAACACATCATCCATTTGTAGAAATTAATGCCTAAAAAACAATGAAAAGTTCAGCAAGACAACATAAGACATCAATCAGTACAGTAAAACTGTTATTATGACATTTAATGCCAACCAAAGAGTACGTAACAATGACACAAAACACATAAAGTAATGGAAAAATTAAAAACGATAAGCAAACAACATCGAATCACAATGTAAATCACCAATTGAACAACAAAAATCGAAATTCTTACATAATAATTTTACAAACCAAAAAAATCATAAAACAAATGCAAATTACATTAAAACTAAACTGAAACTATCAGAATTCATTTGCGAAACACATATATGCACAATTACATATCATCAGCATTTAGGAATATTAGAAGAGCATTCGAAGAAAGATGTAATCAACATTCCAGAAAATCAAGTAGTAAGCTTACCTGCATAAAACGCAGGGCACAGGTATGCCTAATGCGAATGAAAAACTAAATTCGCAAAATCAGAAGCAATGGCAAGTCGGAAGAGAGGAAAGAACCGAGACGATGCTAATCGCAGACGAAAGAACGAAATAAGGAAAATTGCGCAAGAAATCTCCAACCGGAAGAAACGGTTAGAAACAGGTTACTTATGTGGCATGCTTCCGTGTAAAGTAAGGGCATTTAAGGAAGAAAATAAAAAAAAGGAAAACTGTCAAATAAGTCCACATACTTTTAACAAAAAGTCAATTGAGTCCATGTACTTTTTGTTGAGTCAATCAAGTCCACAAACTATCAAAAAACGACCAAATAAGATTTTTAATCGGTAGTCAACCGGTTACTCGGTTAACCACCGACATGGATGTCCCACGTGGCATTTTGTTACTGTTTTTCAATTTTTTTAGTTTTCTTTCTTTTTCCCTTTTTTCCCCCTGTTCTCTTTCCTCTTTTTCTTTTTTCCCCTCTTTCTTCTTTCTTCTTGGTCCGCACTTCTCCTTCGCAGTCCCTGCTCGATCTTCCATTCTTCATTTCTTTCTGGTCTCACCAATAACCCCAACCACTCCTCCAGTACTCCCGCTGGAACTAATTCCGCCGCATGGCCTCTCTAGCCACCACCTCCGCCTCTCAGCCTCCATAGCCCCTTCGACCATACACCGTCTCCGGCCACCACCTGTGCGGCCTTCCCCTTCCCCTCCTTCGGCCTTCCCCTCCTCCAGCCTTCCCCTTGAATTGACCTCCAGCCGCGCCGACTTCCATGGTCGTCGCCCTTACCACCGGACCCACAGCCTCCGGCTTCCACCTCCATGGTCTCTACTCCGCCTCTTTCAACGATCTCCAACCACCAGACCTTCTCCATAGATCTGTAATTGCAAGGTGGGAAGAGATGGAGTGCAAACGCAGAGGATGAGCGGACCAAGAAGAAAGAGAAAAAAGAGAAAGAAAGGAAGAGAGAAAAAGAAAAACGAAATAGAAAATCTCTTCTTATATAAAAGGAAAAGAATTTTCACATACAGTACTCCCGCCCGTATCTGTCAACGTCAATTCTTATAATACTATCGTACAACGCATTACTGGGCATGGTAAAATGAATGAAATTTTGGAATTAACTCAACACATTCGTCCAGCAAATAAAATTAATGAAATGGAATTCCTATTGGCCAAGGATTGCGGTGGTATAGTGCAGCCGCATTATAGAGGCCTCTTATTGGACATTTGTGTGGTCGAAACTGTTGACACCAACTCTCTGTAGACATTTTCCTTCCATCCGTGTTATTGGTTGATGGGGGAGGTGTAAATAGTGGATGGTATGGGACATGACATTCGTAGGAATTGCTACCACTTGACTCCGCTATAAAAGGACCATTACGGCCTCAAATTTCTTACACCGATCCTCATATACTCTTTCACAGCAGGATGGTGGTAAATTAACTATCCAATTTGGCAGAGGAGAAATTGCCGGTGTTGTAGGAATGGTTCTGGAAGAGGCTGCTTGCTACGGACGAAGAGAGAGCAGTGGGGGCCATAATCAACTGTAGAGTTTGGGACGGTTATAGTAGCGGTGGAGAGCCGCTTGGGTAGCGGTAGAAAGATGATCGTAATTCATATTGCTAGGGTAAATTGTTTGGGTTGGGGTCCTATATACAAAAATGGGCTGGGCCTATAAAAATAAATGAGAAGGATTTTGGGGAGAAGTTCCAGCCTATCGCACTTTTCCCTTCTTTTTGTTTTGGAAGAACTCTTCATTCTTCCTTTCTTAATTCCGTATGACGTAAAATATTAACTCTTTTTATGGTTAAATTATTTATTTAATCCTTAAATTAGGATTACTTAGAGATAAAAAAAAAGGATCTTTAATAATTTAAAATGTTTTTACTTGGATTGTTTTCAGTCTCAACCCAAATTTTAACAGATCAGACTATAATTGACTTTCGTAGTTATAAAATACATTAAGACCACATGTTTAGCAGACTAGACCGGTTCAAATCGAACCAAATCAGATTTAATCATATCGTATCAGACTTAAACAGGCCATATCATTACATTACAGTTCAAGTAAAAACATCATTAGTAAGATTGGCTTTCATTAGATCGGGTTCAATCCGGGATCGAATAGGTCCGGTTAAGTCCAAATGAAGAATTATCAAAATGATTTTTTTACTTCCAAATATTAATATCCACGATAATTAACCATTCAAATCCAGGAAACATAATTTATTTTAATATTGTTATCAAGGTGCATGTGAACAAACATTTTTGGTATACTATATTGATTCTATATTAAAAATAATTGAATCGAAGTTGAACGGTTTGAACTGGGTTATAAATTTTAGAGACCGTAAGCTCCAATTTTCTAATCCGATCTAAGTATTTTTTTCGTACTAGACATTTTATAAATGTGTATAGTCGAATTTTCTAATCCAATCCTAACGGTATTTTCATAAATAGGATAAAAACGTAGATCAATAACATCATTGGAGTCAGACCACACTAGACTATCGGATTTTGATTTGGTTTTTCTTACCCTTAAATGGTGTATTTATACATATTTGAAAATACTCACCCATTCTGTATCACATGAGGTATTCTATACATGTTCCGTTATCGCATGTTGGTTCATTGTTGAAAAACATTATTTTTTGTCATGATCAACTTTACACGATTGTGTCAAGAGTAACCAACAACTAAACGTAGAAAATGACACTGCACACAAATGATGACATGAGAATGAAATGTGAAACGAAGAACTTTCTGTATAAATAAGTTTTTCATAAAGTCATGCATAGAATGTAATTTGTTTTCAAATTATATTTGTATTGAGTGTTACTGTTTTGTTAGACTATACACATTTGTGTGCTACTCCACAATCATTGATACTCCGTGAATCGTATTAAATACATTTCATTTTCCGTCAAACTTGATTATTGTGTTTTTTTTCTAATTTGAGTAAACTTCAACCCTTAAATTTCACCAACCGAGCATCACACTAGAGTTGTACTTATTTTTTAATTAAGAATGACTATATATTCTACCTGTAATGTGTTTCGAAAGTTATTATGCTTAAATGGTAGCATTATTTTTCATAAATTCATATTTGAGTATTGTTTAATAATGTCAAAACACACTTTCACATATATGCACACCCCTCTAATTTGCCAATTTGCATGGGCAATTTGTGTAAAAAAAAATGCAATTCGTATAAATGCATAGTCACCATATTACTTAAAATGTTTATACATATTTATTTCAGTCTCAGACCAAACCAAACTTAAACAAACCAGAGCACACTTGGATATTAGAAATAGTAGAAGCACCTATTTGAACATTTTCCCACAAATTTAGATTCAAGTATAATTCAAAAAATGACATAACACACTTTCACATATTTTACTCCCTTATTTTACCTATTCAGAGAGACAATTCGTCTAAAAATGAAATTCGTGTAAATTTATAGTCACCTTAATACTTAGTCATTATAATTAATTTACCTTCAATTAATTAATATATAAACCTTTGATTTTTGGCAGGTGTTGCCGGTGATGCTTCATGGGAGTAGACATGATGTAGTCAATGTGACGACTAATTCATCATATCTGTGGTCGGAATGTGCAGTCATTCGTTTGACAAAAAATATGCGCCTGTAAAACATGACTAATCCATTATATTCTTACGGTTTGAAGGTTTTTTCAGATTTGATTGCCAACATTGGTGACGATGTTGCGGGTGAAAGTAATGATGGTCATGTTCGTATTACTATCCATGAAGATCAATTGATAGCATATTTCCGGAATATGTTGAATCCGCAGGTGATATGAGTTGTTTGTGCGACCGTGCAATTTTGTATCGACATTGGTTGTGGTTGAAGCTGTTAATGACTATATGACGGATCTTAATATTGGTGAAGTTTCAAGAACATATCTTAGTTCTGACAGTGTTTCTAAGGTAGATTCTACGACCGATCTAATGATGGAACAGCACACACCTGAGTTATTGAATAGTATAATATTGTTCGGTGTACTGAATAATGAGTTAACGTTAAAGATAGGAACCCCAGTGATGCTTTTGCGAAAATGAATTACTAAGGACACATAAATTTGAAAGAAAAATTCTCAAACCGTGCATCGCACGGGTGAGTTTACTAGTAGTAAAAATGCCACATTGATGTCCACATAGGCAGTCAACCGGATAACCGGTTGACAACCTTTTAAATTGGTGATTTGGTCATTTTTTGATAGTACATAGACTTGATTGACTCAACAAAAAGTACATGGACTCAATTGACTTTTTGTTAAAAGTATGTGGACTTATTTGACAGTTTTCCCAAAACAAAATGGCGGCAGAAAGCAGCTCCTATTTGGGGAAATTAGCTAAAGAACTCCTATTAATGCACTTTACATATGTTTAACTCCCATTAAGGGTAATTTCTTTTAATGATATAGCTGAGGTCTATTGTTTGCAAAATAACTCACAACCATTTTAGTGCAAACTAACTAACGTGACACTACTGGGACATGCCCCATGTATTACACTAGTTGTTTATTAAAAAAATGTTACCTACAAATAATTACGAAATACTCCGTACAAATCATTTACATTTTAGAAAATTGAATTATTGAGAAACACAACTGCTGACAAATAAAATCAATTAAAAAGAAAATTTGTTTTTATTGAAATAACATGAATTCACATTCTAAAACAACATGAATACCAATAAACATGAAATAAAGTGTGTCTCATAAATAATTAACATACTTCATTAAGTTAACTATAAATTAAATATCCACATAATCAATTGTGAATGCATTTAGGGTTCTATCATGGAGGAGTTTCGATCAAAACGTCTTTTCACGCATATGCCTCGTCTAAACTCACCTTGACTTTATCGTGCTACCTGAATACGTCTTACTCATTTTAGAACATTGAGTAGTTTCCCATTCCGTGCAACTCATAGTGTAAATTGCAATTCAGTGCGATTCTAGTTCTCCACCTTTCCAATTTATCAATGCTTTCTTTTTACATTTAAAAGTTCAGTTATTTTTTTCAAAATGAAGTTAGAATAGGGATCCTGCTAGGCAAGCCCTTCCCGGTGGACATTTTTAATAGAATATTTTGAGCATGTTCTTTGTCAAGACTAGTGTATATTCATCAAATTTAATTTCAACTAAAAATTCAATCAAAAGGTCAACAAATCAGATCAACAAATTTCAGTACGAATTTCAACTAAAAATTTAATCGAAAGGTTGAATTTAATCAGTTTAGGCACGGTAACCTCACAACCAGACCAAATCATTTCAACTAAATATTCATCAGTTCTGATCCTATTTGACCAGATCAGTTCAGATCAGAACAAATCAGATCAGCAAATTCCAGTACAAAAGAAAACATCCTAAATCGGACGAAGAGAGTATAACTAATCATTATTTGAAAAACTTACAATTAGAGCATTTAATAAATTTTTGTTTGTACGACAAAGAATTTGAGATGTCATTTGTACTACAGATAATTATCCTAGATATGACTAAAACTCAATGAATTTCCCAATCTATGAATCTATGATCTAACTAGTTTTTTTTATCAAAATAATTATAAAGTTCATAACATTTTAATTAAATTCGTAATTAAAAAATAATAAATAATTTTGAGAGACAAATATACCTTTTAGCTTATACCTATAAAACCCTAACCTTCTACTCTTTTTTTGCAACCGTAGCTACAACCTTCCAACGCCCACTTGCGCAGCCACCCCGCCGTCCAACCACCGTGCCCGCTATCCAACCGCCCCCGGCCATCCAGCGCCGCCGCTTTCCACATATCTGGTTGCCAAGGCGCCGTCCAGCTAGAGCCGTCAAAACGGGATGAAACCCGCGGGTTGGCCCGTTTCAACCCACTTATAAGTGAGTTAGGGTTATCATTTTTCAGACCCGATTATTTCGCGGGCTTAGTGGGTCAACCCTAACGGGTTGCAGGCCAACCCGCGGGCTGAAGACAAATACTCCAGACGGACTATATATCGATTTGTCTATATAGACTACACGGCACAGAGGGGAATAAAATCCAGACATACCACGGTAAAGTGATGATATTTGTAATGATATTTGCTTTTTTAACTTTTGGACAGTTTTTTG